AAGTCTCAATGTAATATTTTATATTCATAACTCAGTCACAATGTAATATCCTATATTTATAACTCAGTCTCAATGTAATATCTTATATTCATATCTCGATGTCAATGTATCGTCTCATATTCATAACTCATCTACCAGCACTCAACGTACCTACAATCGCCCATCAACATTCTCTCTCTCTCTCGTCCACCCTTGTCTGCGCAGCACTGGAGCATCCCCGTTGTAGACGGAGTCCGTCCCTGTGCACGCGAGTCACACCGCAGCTGTGTGTACAATGGGCAGTTGGTGATGTACGGTGGCATGAACGGCAAGCGCCTGGGCGATGTGTGGGTGTTTGACACAGCCACACACACATGGACACAAGCAGCCACAGGCACACACGCACACACGCCGTGTGCACGCTCTCTGCACACTATGGTGGTGGTGGGTAGTCGTGCGTATGTGTTTGCGGGGTGGTCGCCGGTGGTGGGTGGGGGGGTGGCTGGCGCAGCGGAGGAGTGGGAGTGCACCAATTCCCTGGGCTGCTTGGATCTGGGTGTGTGTGTGTGTGAGTGCGTATTAACAATAGCTGTGTGTGTGTTTGTGTGTGTGCTGGTGTGTATGTATGTATGTATGTGTGTGTGTGTGTGTGTGTGTGTGTGTGTGTGTGTGTGTATTCATATATATATATTCGTTCGGGTTATTGGTTTGTCTGGAATTATTCATAGTCCTGGCTGTTTTTATCAGAAACGCGTATTGTACGTATGTTTTGCTTAGAATGGTTGCATACAAAGTTGTATATATCCGTTAATTAATCGTGAGAAAGACACGCGTAGTATATCAGATGATGACGTGCCATACCTTACCTCTGATCTCACTTTGTCTACTTATCCGACAGGACTCAGAATGAGAGCCTCGGTGTGAGACAAATCTTGATGTGCACGTACTAAACAGTGTATTCATACAGTCTCGTCAATTCAGTGTGAAAGGATACCGAACTTCTTGCACATTCGGAGTATTCCGCTGTCATGGGTATGTTTGTGAGACCTTTGCACAACCATTTGCATATACAATGTCGTACCTTCATGTTGTATATTTTGTTGAAATTTTTTTTTCAAAGTGTTTTAAGTAATTTCTGAGCTTTTCTGTGCACTCGCAGTAGTCCGCTAGTATGAGTACGTCTGTATGGTAGATGACGCCTTCTTCATACACCATATACATAGTACATATACAAAAGGGTAAACCTGATAGCATCTATCCTAGTTTGAAGCGCTCTCACCAAGCTTTGCAAGGTGTGTATTTAAAAATTTACTATGCTTTTGACAGCGAAGTTCGCTCTATGAAATAGTAATAAAGACACTATTAATATAGTAGTGAATTTGTAGTAGTCAACTACCTTCCTGCGTTCTCAACATTTTAAGATTGATGTTTCCATTTTACTTCATACCACATCAACCAAGACAACATCCTCAATTTGGTGAATAGAAATTCAGGTGTAAAGCGATCAATGTGATATAGTTACCAACCACCGCTACGTTGCTATACTTCGCCATATACGTAATATATCTATATACACAACATTTTGCATATGGTATTTATATTGGAGGAGGAACAATATAAGTTACTATCATGTCAAGCATCTTCACTGACGTTGTTACTAGACTTGGTCAACACCTTCTACTATTTCTGTTAAATCAATATTAGAAGTTCTTTTCCGGACATCAGGATGTCTTACTAAGGACATCGTTTCTTACCCCTTCCACAATTAAAACTATACCTATACCATATATGTACTATGTACTAGTACTACGAAGGTATACCAGTTGGGTGAAACCCACATATCAAGCGCCCCACTTAGTTGCTAAACATCTCATGTGCACACATTGCCCTGCTCGAATATATCACATATATGTTATACATGTATGAATAACCCTGGTTCATTGTAAATCAACAAATATATTATATGTATAGGTTACTAAAATATGCACATGTTACTCTATTACACAGTATAGCAACAGATATATGTCAAATATGGATGCTTTACTAACATCATATATTTTGTATATATGTATATATTACCCTACTTCAATTGTAACAACAGATATATGGTATATATGCATATTACTAGTATCATATATATGGCAGATATGTACACATTACTAACATCATGCATTGCGTATGTATGTATATATTACCCTACTTCATTGTATAACAACAGATATATGGTGAATATGTATATATTATTAGCATCATCTATATGGCATATATGTATATATTACTAACATCATGTATTTGGTATATATGCATACACTCCGCTACTTCATTGTACAGCAACAAATAAAAGGCATACTTGATACTATCATCATATATACGGTATGTATGTACACATTACGCTATCTCATTGCATAATAATCAATAAATGGCTTATATGTATGCAAAACTAGCATCATATATTTAATCTATATGCATATGTTATCCCACCCCATTATAGGACAACAATTATATGGTCTATGTGCATATATCACACACGCCATATTTTTGGTATAATGTATGCATTACTAACATCATATATATATGGTATATATGCATACAGCGGGGGAAACGATGGATCTGACCCACGTGCCAAGCACGCTGACTAAAGACCAGTTGCTTTGCTTAGAGGTAGTACAGGCAGCCCTA